ATGAAGAGGATTTTTTTGGTCATCTGGTAACTATGGATGAATCTTGGAGCTATCATTATGATCCAGAGATCAAAACCATGAGGAGTGGAAACATGTCAATTCCTCTCCTCTCCCTCCAAAAAGGCAAAGGTGCAAAAGTTATCAGGGAAGGTCATGCTCTCAGTTTTTTTGGGACTGTCATTGAGTCATTCTCACAGATTACCTTGCAAAGGGACAAATCATCACTGGCACATACTACAACAATCTTCTGAACAAATTGTGAGGTGCTCTGAAAAAGAAACACCACGGTATGCTCTCCAGAAGCATTAGTCTCCTATCTGACAATGCACCAGCTCGCTCATCTCAAGTTGCAGTTAACAAAGCAAGGGCGTGTGGCTTTGAGATTTTGCAGCATCCTCCTTATTCTCCCAACTTCACACCAAGTGATTTTTTTCTTGTTTCTAGAAATGAAAAATCCGTTGCGGGGTCACCAATTTGACAACACAAATGATGTCATTCATGAAGTGGAAGAGTGGTTTAAGGAGCAATCTGCAGACTTCTACAGAGGGTCAAGAAACACTGGGGGAGATGTATAAATCTGGATGGTGACTACTTAGAGAAAATTGAACAACTACAAATCAAAACAAACTTTTTGTCAATTTATTTTAAAGGTGATAATTAAAACTTTATGATTCTCCCCCTTGTATATGTAAAACACAGAGGAAACACCACACAATATATACTACATATTCACATATAATAGATACAGGAATAAATTTGACAAATGACTTAAACATTAGATACATCTCTGATATTGGTTAGCATCACTTTAGGATTTTCTTCTCTTCTTTTGATAGTTTTGCAATCTACAGGTCTTTTCAATATTTGGCCTATTGTAGCTCTTTGTCAAAGCTGTAGGGAAATGCAAGACTGTGATAGATTCAGGATAAATAATATTATTCAGGAACTTTCCAAGAAAAATAAATAGCTCAATTCGCTTTATTAAAGTTGTGCATTTGCACAATTAAAATGAGTCCCCAAATAATTTACCAAAACTGAAAATAGAGAGACAATAAAGAATTCCATATTCTCTATTCATAATAACAGGGGTCCCCAAACTATGGCCCACGGGCCGAACCCAGCCTGTCGAGGCCTTCCTACTGGGCCATGGCCAATCCTGCCGCCGCTGCCGCTGCCGGATGCTATTTTGTGTTCCAAAATTACACCCAGAGTCGTGCGCATGCGCGTGTGACGCCACGCGCATGCCTCAAGATGCCATTTTGGAACACAAAATGGTGTCCAGAGTCATGTGCATGCATGTGCGCCTCCGGCCCCCCAGAAGATCTGGGGGCCAGTAAACCGACCCCCGGATCAAAAAGTCCAGGGACCCCTGCATAATAAGCAGCACTGGAACACATATTTAACAGCTGGCCGAAAATTAAGGGCATAGTGGAAAAACAAAGATACATGAAAGGTATTGTTGATAAGTCCTTTCAAGTGTGTTTGGGGATGATGTCTAGGGTAATTAAATAATGGTTTTAATCAAGCTAGTTTAGAGAGGAACTTTAGCTTAGTGGTTGACCCTTCCACACCAAATTCTCTGGATCCAATCCTTGATACGGCACAGTAGGGCTAGGAACAAATCCTGCCTAAAACCTTTTATAGGTACATAGTCAGTTATGACCACATTGGGCTGGGATAGATGACCCAATGGTCTGACTCAGAATAAGCAAGTTTCATACATTTTGAAATGATAAACATTTGGTACAACAACAATTCATTATTGAGAGTAAATCTACAATACTCAGCATATGTTTATTAGCCCCAGAAATGTTTATGGAAATCTAGGGTAACTTATCTGAAGCTCCTATTTAGACTCCTAGGGTCATTCTAGATTCTTAGCTTCAACAATGCTACAGCAGTTACTGATGGAAGTCCAGTAGCTGGGATTTGGAAGCAGGTCACAGTCTTTTCAATGGACTTATCTATTCAGAAATAGATTCAGGAAAAAGGTGTTAGCTATCAAAAAGTAAGTTTTATAAGATAGCTCAGGACACTGATAAAAATATAATTTAATAACCACAGATGTATCTAGACATCTCTTGTTACACAATTTATATTTTTTTAATCTTAAACAGTATTTGCTAGAATGAGAAAAATAATTGCTGTACTGTAATATGAATATCTCCGAAGGCTTTTAAAATAGTCCTCAACTTTATATATACCTTATTTTTACAGTGCAGTCTCTGAACAAATAAAAATTACTGGCAAACAAAATCACTAAAGGGCTATAACTATTGGAAGCATGACACTCAACATTTTATTATCTTCTTTCAACAAACATCACTTTTCCTTAAAGGAATATGAACTGTAATAGAAACAGCTATTCATCAGAATGTCCAATTATAATGAAAGAAAAGCCACCGAAAGCAATAAATGTACCACTGGACCAATTTCACTGGAATGCATTCCAGATCTAGAAAAAATTGGAAAAGCTTATAAAAGTTGTTTCATTTAACTATTGGGCCTCATTATAGAAATGCTTAATTAAAAGTATTTTAAGAACCACACAGGTTATCAAAGTTACATTGAACTATAAGGAGGATTCCTAATAATTTCATTATATTTTAATGCATTTGTTTTGTTTTAATTCAGTGGATTTATTTGCAAGCCGTAATGGTTTTGCTGCATTTATGGTTAATACACTGGTCCTGTACTTGAGGCTCAGTGCCAGAAATATTAGATGCTCATTTAGAGTTTAGGCTCTCGACGGCACACCATTTGAAAATCAATATGAAAGGAAGAGTATGCACCATTTGAGTGAATAGTGAAAAACTCACTGATACAGAAATGGTATACTACAGTATGTCAAATTAGTGGTTTTCAGACTGCTCCTAGGAAACCTGTGATTGTCCACAATTATTTCATATGATTCTCCATGTGTAGAGCAGCAGTGTCAGAAAGGCATCTTGTCAACTACCACTGTTTTTTCCCTACACTGCACTGCCTTTGGGAAATGACAAATGCATTTTAATAAACACTCTCAGTTTAAGTTTGGAATCAGCTAGATATGATGGCCACATTCACACTCTAGAATGTGTCTCAGAATATTTTGCAACACAGTGGTATAGAGGACTTGTCAGACAAATCAATCTGGGAAGAAAGTATGAAAATAACTGTATTCACTGCATGTGCAAAACCATCCTTTGTTTATCATATTCACAGCTGCTTGCTATCCATGATCTAAATGGATTGAAAACCTGAGAAGATTTCTCCAGTCTCATTTCACTCAAATAATTTTTAAGGATAACATAAATATTATTTTAATATTATTACTCTAATGATGACAACCCTCAAAAGTCATAGTGTTGAGAAAATGCCACAGCTCCTTTCTCTCCAGCATTGTTGTATAGTTACTCATTTCTTTCTCAACCTTTCTCCAAGCAACACAATATATCTCATTTTACCTCCAAGACAACTCCCGGAGGCAGGCTAGGGAGTGACTTACCCAAAGCCCTATCAGTACAATAGTTTTATGGCAAGCAATCTACATCTCTCCCACTCTTCTTCAACAATTTGTCTAAGCCAAGTATTCAAAGATATCATTTATCTTTGTAGAAGAGCTGGCAGAGGTGCTGAAACATTCACAACCATTACTTCTTATCATGCCATTATTCTTGGTCACAGAAGATAGGCAAAATGTACCCTTCCAAACATCGCTGCAGAGCAACTCCCAGTATATTTCACCATTGGCCATACTGGCTAGAAATGTTGCAGTCCAACATCTGGAAGGCTGCACTTTGCCACTTACTGTTCTATCAGAAAAATGGAATTAATGTAGTACTGACCTAGTGAAGCACAGTTGTTAGGGTGTAAATAATGATTTGTGGCATTCCTGGTTCAAATCTTCCCTAATCCTCCTGGATTGAGGTGGGGAACAACAACTATTAACAGACAAACAACATCAGTTAAAAATACATCAGCTAAAACATATCAGTTTAAAAGGACAAATAAGATGTATACATATTAAAACAATCCACATTTAAAATTCATATTTAAAAATCATTTGGATAAGCCTGTCAGAAGAGACTGGTCTTTAATCCTCTTTTAACTTGAGACAGCATATTCAGCTGTCTAATCTCTTCCGGCAGGTCGTTCCACAGTCTAGGGACAACTGAAGAAAATATTCTCTGGCTGACATCTGCCAACCAAGTCCTGGCTGATTGGTGTAAATGTCCCCCTGAGGACCTGAGTGTTTGGGGCAGATTATTTGGGAGGAGGTGATCCTGTAGGTAACCTGGACCCAAACCATGTAGAGCTTTAAAGG